ATCCTAGGCAGTGGGTATTTGTTCTTAATGGTTACCTTATTAAGTTCTCTGTAACCAATGCAGAGGCGAAGTGTGCCATCCTTTTTCTTAACAAATAAAACGGGTGCTCCCCACGGTGAAGTACTCGGCCTAATGAATCCCTTATCCAACAATTCTTGTAACTGTAGTTTCAGTTCTCTAAGTTCAGCTAGGGCCATCCTATAGGGTGTTTTGGAGATAGGTTGCGTTCTCGACACGAGGTCCACAGTAAACTCTATTTCTCGATCGACCAAGTGGCCAGGCAGCTCATTTGGAAAGACGTCGGGAAATTCCTTAACAACTGGTATGTCGGTTAACTCAACACTTCCATTCAAATCACTTAGTATACTGCACAAATAGCCCTGACACCCTTTTTGGATCAACTTATAGGCTTTCATGGATGAGATTAAGTAAGGTGGGCGTATTACTCCCTTACCCTGGAAAAAGACCTCGGCTTTGTTTGGGGTCTTCAATGTAACGCTCTTAGTAACACAATTAATGGATGCATGATGCGCTACTAACCAATCCATTCCCAATATGACATCGAAGTGAGTCATGCTTAATGGCATCAAATCAGCTAATAGTTCTACATCCTCAATCACCACAACACGCGCCCTATATATGGATGCAAAAATTATAGTTTCCCCAGATGGAGTAGATACAGATAGCATATAATCAAGGGGTTCTAACGGTCTGTTCAACTTCTCGGCAAATTTAACAGATACAAATGAATGTGTAGAGCCCAAATCAATCAAGACGTACGCAACTTGAGAGTAAATTGAGAGTGTACCTGATACTACCGTTTCAGCATTCTGGGTGTCTCCTGGCACTAGAGCAAAAACTCTGCCCTGTCTCATCTGTGTCCTTCCGACATTGCTTTCTTGTGCAGAGCCTGAGGTGCTCCCATTTTTCTTATCATCATCAGCTCTTGCCTAAGGACAGTCTTTCACGTGGTGGCCTATCTCGCCATATTCAAAGCAGGCTCCTGTCGCCCAGCGACAAACCCCGAGATGCGGCTTCCCATAACTCGAACACGTCGGCTTAGCATTTCCATCCCGATCTGAGTTGCTGGAACTGCCCACATTCACCTTCTTCTTGGCATTAAACGGCATCCGACGACCTTCATAGTTCTGTCTCTTCCTCTAACTCTCTCCTGAACTTTGATATCGGTTTAAGTTGGCTTCCGCCAAGATGGCCTTGTCTAACACCTCGATGTAAGTCGGCATATTGATCATGTTGACCCGATCCTGGATTGGTCCACGTAGTCCACTTTCGAACTTCTTGGCTTTCCTATACTCATCACTGACCATATGAGGCGCGTATCTCGCCAATTCGGTGAAGGCACGGTCGTACTCTGCCACTGTTCTGTTGCCTTGTGTCATAGTCTGGAACTCTGTGGTCTTGCGATCTCAAACGCTAAGCGGAAAATGCTTGTTGTAAAACAGTTCCAAAAATCTGGCCCAAGTTAAACCAGGATTAGCCTCCCGGATCATCATCCACCACCTTCGAGCATCGTCGTCTAATGTGAATGCTGCTAATGTCACCTTCTGAGTGTCGGTGCTGGGAAAGATCTCGAACAGCTTTTCCATTTCCAAAACCCACGCCTCGGCCTTCATCGGCTCTATGCCCCCTGCGAATCTCGGTGGGTTCATCTTCTTGAACTCTTTAATCAAAGTCATCGTCCCTTCCCCATACAAGGCTGGCTGTGGAGGCACTTGGGGCACTGGAAGAGGTGGAGCTACATGTCGGCCATCCGTCTGTTCGGCCGGGGTAGATGTAGCACTTGCATTCTGTTGTCTCATCTGCCTTAACTCACGGGTTAAACCTTCAACTAGTCTTTCCAGCCTGTCCAATCTATCCTCTGATTGATCTCGGCCAACTGGTGGTCTGCCTCTCCTCATGATGCCATGAGTAGGCAAAATGCAACCTTAAAACAAACTGAACCAAGAATCATGTATGCAAATAACAAATGGTTATGCCGAGATGATGCACACCTTGTCAAGTAACAAGCAATATGATGCAATCCTAAGATCATTCTAAGGGACATCCTATGCTCTTTAGGACTCAAAGTGTGTGAATAACGTACTATAAGGAATGCGTGCTCTGATACCAATCTATCACGACCCCAAACCGCCCCTAGTAGTTTGGTGCCGTGATGGCCAGTAAACCGAGATTACTGAAGGCCAACTTTCAAAATTCACACACAAACAGAGTATAAATATATATGGGGCTCACAAGTGCGGAAGTAAAAACTTAAAAAAAACAAGTGGTCCATAAGAGCAGTGCGTAAGTTACATGGGATGGCATACAACTTTACATAATATTACAACTTGGATACAAATACAATATAGTACAAAATACATTTTACATCTTGATCAAAAGGCTTCTCCAGCCGACATGTGTAAATTACAAGCATTATAAGCCGAGAAGCATAATTTCCGACATGTATGCAAGTTAAGCCGACATGACAAAAACCCAAAACAAGCCTGCGAGTCACACCTAGGCGTCACCGCCTTCCGACTCATCACCTACATATATATAGAGAGGGTGAGCTTGGATACTCAGTGAATGGTATAAGAAATAAAGAGGTTTGCATGACTGGTATTCAAGAGCTTTATTCAACAATACATAACATAATAGTGCAAGTCAAGGGATGAACCAAGTCCATCTTCCAAATCTGTCAAGTTTCAAAGGATGCTTACTAACATCATTATAATACAAGTGATGACACCTCGGCAACTGTTAGTGGCAAACAAGGCAAGACAAGACAAGACAAGGGAGATATCTCAATTCAATGGTACCGTTGCATTATAGTCCCCTGACACTAAGGACTTGTGCTACAAATGCTTATAGTCCCTTAGCACGTACGGGCTTCCAAACTTTGTGCTACAAATGCTTATAGTCCCATAGCACGTACGGACTTTCCAAGAATGTCATCAAAACAAGATAGTATGTATATTTTCTAACTAGGAATAACCATTCATGCTTACAAATACTTTTCCAAGACTTAGCAAAACAAGACTTTTATCAAAGCATTATAACATAGCTTTATTAAAAATACCACTCACTTAGTTCTTCAAACGTCGGGGTCAAGGCAAGTCCAAACCCTACAAACACATAGCAAAGTCTGTTGAATGCACTTTCAAACAAGTTTCACATGGGCATTCCTCAAGACTAAGCCGAATCAAAACAAACACAGTTCTTTATCTCGGGAAAACATGCTGGGCAATTACCAGGTCTAGGCTGAGGTTCCACACCCTCTTGCCGAGGTGTGGCCTCGATGGCCACATTCAAAGGAATGAAGTCGGGAAAAATCTGGGTTTCCCTTTCTTGAAGAACATGATGAACATGAAGAACATGATCATGAGGAAGATGGATGCAAGGATAATGATTTGCGATTACAAAACCTGAGATTTCATGCTATGAGTTCAAAAACATGGACCTGGGTATCCATATTCAAGGATCTTGTGAGAATAAACACAAAAACATGAATCTTAATGCAAACTTTCAGATCAAACAAGACTTTTCCTTCAAGAACACATGAACACTATTTTCTCTTTCTAAAACCAACTTTAAATCGATGCATGACATGCAGAACAGGTTCGATCGTGCAATGCAGCTAGAGGATCAATAAGAACGACAAGAGTGAATCAAGAATCTAATCTCAATACACGAATCTAACGGTTCAAACTCCAAAGATCGAGCTTGGTAGTCTACTTATTCCTTAAGAACTTCTTCTTCCTAGAGTCTCTCTCTCTCTCTCTCTCTAAAAGACAAGGATGTAATACAAAAAATATATGTTTTCTGAGTCTGTCGGCTGACTTAACCCTCGACAGGGGCATGTGGCAGCGGCTGGTTGGTACTACTCAAAAAGGTGGCTGAGTGACAAGACAAAACTATGACAAAGTGTGTTCAACAAGCAAGATGGCATGGGCACTTCGGTAGGCAATGATCTCGGCTAAAAGCAAGGCATCGGCAAGTAAGGGAATAATGAGATCGGCTAGGAAGGACAACACTTGACTAAGCTGTGCCACACCTTGGCCTAGATGCGCCACACCTCAGTCTAGGTGATACCACTCCGGGACAAGATCACTTAGGTGCAAAGGTAACATCTCGGCCTAGATGATTCACACCTCGATCTTGGTGATAAACACCTTGGCCTAGATAGTGACATCTCGGCCAACATGTTAGGTCGAAGGTGGAGGTCAAACAAAGGGGTTCCAAGATAATTCTAGACTGAAGACGACCTCGGCTAAACTCACATCAAGCAAGACACTAAACATGCTATAACACTTAAACGAACAAGGACAAGACTTGAAACGCAAGCTTACAAGACAGAATCACATGAATGCATATGAGTATGGTTAGGATAGCGTGAGGGTTATTACACCTTAACAAGTTGAACCAAACCAACTAGCAAACAATTCGGTTCATTTGCAAACCTAATTTTAGATAATTGAGGCCCACAAAAAATCCATTTGAGTCATTTAAATTGTTTAATTTTTAATACATTTTAAGTAAATTATTTATGTAAAAAAATTAAATTAATCGATATCAATAATCATGGTGTTCAAAAGAAAAACATATCAATAACACAAGTTTGAATTACATATGTTATTAAAAAAACAAACGAGTAAATATATCGGACCCAAAGACACGCTACAGTTGATGGTACACAACAATTATTTCTGAAAAGAGCATCTTGCAACATTCACCCCAAGTCTTTCAGTATCTCTGTCTCAACAAAATTTAATTATTTATTTTTAATGATTCACAATTTAAAGAGATTGAACTTTTCACATTAATGCTAGGGATCATGAAAAATATATCATGAATATTATCATAAAAGATTCTCAACCTTTGGATTACCCATATAATAAAACACCACACACTAATCAAGACTAATCAAGGGATGAAAAATTTTCATGATGTATTTCATGATATATTTTTCATGATCCCTAACATTACTATTCAGAAAAACCATGGCAAAGTTGCTTATTGTGCTCTACACTGCCCTTGTGTTGTGGTGCTACTTGTTGTGCAACATCCCCGCAGCAAATTGCATCATGGCAAATAATGAGATAGATAGAGTTGCATTGGTGGCCTTCAAGGCTGCAATTGTTCAAGACCCATTTGGTGCCCTCACTTCCTGGAATCATTCACTCCACTACTGCCACTGGAAAGGCATTTTGTGTAGTCGTCGACATCCTGATAGAGTTATTCAGCTAACTCTAAGGTCCCAAGGCCTGGTTGGTTCGCTTTCATCTCATATAGGAAACCTCTCATTCTTCAACAGCATTGATCTTCAAAACAATAGCTTCCACGGCCCAATCCCACAGGAGATGGGTCGCTTGTTTCGGCTACAAACAATAGAATTCAACAACAATTAGTTTCGAGGTGGAATACCAAACAACCTTTCTCGTTGCTCAAAACTTGAATGGCTGAACTTGATCGACAACCACCTAACCGGAAACATCCCAGCTGAGTTGGGCTCTTTGTCAAGGCTTGGAACTTTAGCCTTAAGTAAAAACAAGCTTTCAGGAACCATCCCTCCTTTCATTGGAAACCTCTCATCTCTTTTCCAAATCTCTTTATCGCATTGTAATTTGCATGGGGAGATTCCGGAAGAAATTGCTAGGCTTCGAGGCCTGAGCTTAGTCCAGTTATCTGAGAATAACCTATCTGGCAAGGTACCATCTGGCCTTTATAATATCTCCACCATCTTTTTTTTATCATTAACCGTTAACCAACTTGAAGGAAATATTCCTCATGATATAGGCTCCACACTTCCAAATCTCAAGTTTCTTAACTGTATGAACAATTTGTTTACTAGAACAATTCCTACTTCATTGTCAAACGCTTCAGAACTTCAAGAGATACTCATCTCTATAAATTATTTCAGCGGGACAATGCTAAAAGATCTTGGAAAACTTCCGGGTCTTACAGTGATAGGTGTTTATCAAAATTGGTTGCAAGATGACCTCACTTTTATTTCACCTCTAACGAATTGCACCAGTTTACAAATTATTGATGCGGGTGACAATCTTTTTAGAGGTTCATTGCCTGACTCCATAGCTAATCTTTCCACATATCTTAGCTGGATGAATTTGCAGATTAATCAAATACATGGAAGCATTCCTTCAGGCATCGGGAACCTTCTCAACCTCACTCAGCTATCTATGGTAGCAAATAATCTTGCTGGCCCTATTCCATCCTCCATTGGCAGACTTCATAATCTGCAATCTCTGTCGTTAGCCCAGAACAAATTCACAGAACTTCCATCTCCACTTGGTAATTTGACTTCATTGATTACTCTCGACTTGGGAGAAAACAATATCTATGGAAACATACCTCAAAGTTTGGGCAATTGTCATAGCTTGCTGGAATTACACCTTTATAAAAATAATTTCAATGGTTCAATACCCCCTGAAATTATGAGTCTTTCCTCCATTTCAACATTCCTCACGTTAGATCACAATGCACTAACCGGTTCTCTTCCATCAGAAGTCGAGTGTTGGAAAAATCTTGGGTACATGGATGTATCCTATAATACATTATCAGGACCCATACCAAACATGCTGAGCAATTGTTTGAGTTTGGAATGGCTTCACATGCAGGCCAACTCATTTGAAGGAGAGATACCTCAAAGTTTGAGCATGCTGAGGGGCTTAACATTATTGGATCTTTCACGCAATAATTTGTCAAGACTGATCCTAAGTTTTCTAGGTGAGCTTCAACTAGATATGTTGAATTTGTCTTTTAATATGCTACATGGACAAGTTCCCATACAAGGAGTGTTTCGAAATTCAAGTGCAATTTCAATTGTTGGAAATAATGATCTATGTGGAGGTATTGCAAAATTACACCTTCCTCCTTGTTCATCCTCCAACCCCAGTAAGAATTACCTTTCTCACAGGATGAAAGTGATCCTACTGGTGGTTGGTATTGTGATATTTTTATCTTTGTTAGTTAGCTTCTTTATATTTCTTCAACAGTGTCGTGTTTCAAAAACGAAGACCTCTAGCACGCCATCAATCAAAGATCAATTTTTGAGGGTTTCTTATGCAAAGCTTCTGAAAGACACTGATGGATTCTCAGAGGCTAATCTAATTGGTGTTGGGAGCTATGCTTCAGTTTACAAAGGGATTCTTGATCATATTCAGATGGTTGTTGCAGTGAAAGTGCTCAATCTTCAGACCAGAGGAGCTTCTAATAGTTTCATGTCAAAATGCAAGGCACTAAGAGCCATAAGGCACCGAAATCTATTGAAAATTTTGAGCGTTTGTTCTAGTGTATATTTTCATGGTAATGAATTCAAAGCTCTGGTATATGAATTTATGGCCAATGGAAACTTGGACAATTGGTTGCATCAAGTTGGAGTTGGAGACTATGAGCAACTAGAAGAACCTAGAAATCTTAAACTAATCCAGAAGGTGGACATTTCCATTGGTATTGCCTCTGCACTTGAGTATCTTCATTGTGGTTATGAGTCGACAATTATTCATGGTGATCTAAAGCCAAGTAATGTTCTTTTGGATGATGAGATGACGACCCATATTGGAGATTTCGGTTTAGCGAAAATTATTTCTACCGTTTCAAGTGATGAGGCACAAGGTCAAAGCAATTCAATTGCAATAAGGGGAACCATAGGCTATGTTGCTCCAGGTACAAAATCTTTTCAATTTCCTTGGAGTAGAAAAACTGAACTTGTAATAGGAAACGCAATAATATATACTCACATCTATACTATTATATATGTGAACAACTCACTTTAACCTCTTGAAGTGTACTCTCTCCTTTTGCCTAGTAGATTTTTTTTATCAAAAAAGAAAAAAAAAATTTATAAAGTGAAGTGTACAAGGGTTTGGAAAACAATATCCTTACCACTTGACCAACAAAACGTTACATATATTTTTAATTCAAAATCAAAATTTATATTTTACAAATTTAATCGCACACCCATCGGGTGGGCTTACACCCGTAGTATGCATATATATACACCTTGCATGGTAGAATAATTTCAGGATAAACAGCCATACAAAAAACCATTCACTCTGTTTGTTTCCAATTTTCAAAATTAACTTTTCAAAAAAATTACTTGTTCGTTTTTTCGTTTTTTTTTTTTTTTGTTTTTAGTGAATTTTTTAATATTTTAAGTAATTTTTTTTAAAATTTTTAGACATACCTAACATAAATACACTTAGAAAGTATAATATTTGTGAAAAAAAAATCTTTAAAAAATTCACTAAATACAAAAAATACGAAAATTCAGTACATTTTTCATATTTTTGTGAATTTATTTATTTTTCACAAATAATTTAATATTTAGATACATCTAAGTAAGATACATTTAAAAAAGTAAAAAAAATTATTAAAATTTAAAAAATATTCACTAAAAACAAAAAATAAAAAAACTTAATTTTCAAAAAACTGAAACCAAACACAATGATTGCTTTCTACAAAATAGTGGGTTCCTACATATTTTTAAGCATTGTTTTTATATAGATTCCGTGTCATTTTTGAATGCTCCAAATGTGTGCTTCCACCTCCAGAAACCAAGATTGCCATTCAGTTTCAAGTTTACTTTGTTTAATGTGGCCATGCTAAACTTGGCTATGGAATACCTGAGTTAACCTCTATGCTGCCTCTGTCTTCTGTATTTTTTTTAAACTCTTTGTTCTGTAACGCTATAGTATGAAATTTTACTTCGATCAAAATAGTTTGTGGTATGGTATCTAAAGAATTAACATACTAGTTTGCAAACAAGGCATTTTCCAAAATCTTACTCAACGCTTCAAAACTTGAATAGTTGATTCTGACACAAATTTCCATCGAAGGCTCATTTTTGTTTGCTTCAAGAAAATTACAACTATCTATGTAGGTTTTGAACTATAATCTCGCTTAGTCACTCACACACATAAACAAAAATATTGTTATTGAGAGATGAAATTAAGGCTGTCATACCACATTTTCTATTGGGAGTAAAACTATGTCAACAAACTATAGGCTCACTTTTCACACTAACATTAGAAACATTTTGCAAAGTATGACATGGGTGACCTGGCTTCCATGCTAGGAGATGTATATAGCTTTGGGATTCTTTTACTGGAGATGTTTACAAATAAGAGACCAACTGACGATTTGTTTAAGGATCATCTAAATCTTCATAACTTCGTTAAGAATGCTTTGCCTGATCGAGTGATGGAGATTGTGGATCCCTACATTCTATTGGAGCATAACAGAAGAAGTTGGATTAAAGACTGTATAGTTTCCATTTTGAGAATTGGGATTGCATGTTCAATGGAATCACCAACAAATCGAATGGAAATGGGAAGTGTTATTAGCGAATTGTGTAAGATCAAAAATACATACATGAATGAAGGGTTGAACCAAGACTAGGAAGTTGGAAGAGATTTTGCAACATAAAAATCAAAGGTGTGTATCATAGCCACTTGATCCATGCATATCAAAATGAAAAATGTTATACGCAAACAGATTTTTTACTTGATTTTCTTACCACTAGATACAAAAACATTGAGTTCCACGTAAATTTATTTATATTATGAACCCCACTAAATTTGTGACTCGTGGTAAGAAAATCTGATGAGAAATTCATTTAAGTATAGCATTACTCTAACAAAATGCATCTTTCCCTCTTTTGAAATACCTCAATTTCATTTTCTCATTTTTCTTTTCTTTTAGATTGGCTCTCATTTTCATTTCTTTCTTTCTTTCTTTCTTTCTTCTTCTTCTTCTTCTTCTTCTTCTTCTTCTTGTAATTTCTTTAATTTTTTTTTTGAATGTTTTGTTTTGTAGCAAGTGAACTAAAGCATGTTTATTCTTTTGCTAATCAAGGCTACGTCCAAGGTCCTCAATTATCATTTTGTTGGTGTTGGTGGCTTTGTGTTATTGTTGCCTCATTGATGAGTGTTCATATGATCGTTCATCACTTTCACCCACTTTATTCTATCGCTTGAATAAATAATTGTCACTTTTTTTTCCTTTGTTTAGATTGTATTATATAAAAAATGTGTTTATGTGTGATATTTCCAACTAAGATTGTGTGCTAGAATTACCATTTATTCCTTTTAAAATTATCAGTTTGTTGTATCTTTTCCTTTGAATTGCATGTGCATATAGTTCCTGCTCTTTAGTCAGTGTCAAATTGTTGTTCAAAATTGACGTTTATGTTTCGTTTATTTCTGCAGAAAGTGTTATCTATAGAAAATGTTTTACTATATTTGGTTGGGACTTTGAAATTGATAGGTTAGAAGAGAGATCAATTTGATTTGTTTGGATCTTTGTTTGTGTTTGGGGATAAAAGATTGTTTTCTTAGATTGTGGGAAGGTGGTTGTAGACAAAGTGAACACAAAAAGGAATACTACCTTATATAGCGATCCCGGGTTTACCCTTGTTGTGCAGTGATCCGGACATGTGTCCGTGAATGTTGGTAGTTGTTTATTTCCTAGTTTGCATCCTCTTTACTTTGTATTTTGAGTTATGGGATGTGTTGGGCAGGTTTGTTACAGGTTGGTTGTTCTTGGGAGCCTAGTGTTGCTGCCCAGATTTTTGGTCCTTCGCTCGAGCGAGGAGTCTGTCGCTCGAGCGAGAGTACTGTTGCCCCGGTTCTGGACCTGAGAGTTGTAGTTTCTGGCTCGAGCGAGCTTTTCGTGGCTCGAGCGGTCTGGGTTTTTCTTCGCTCGATCGACCCAAAACTAGTCTTATCTGTGGATATTGTTGTTATACATATCTGTTGAGAATGTGGATATAGCTTTTACGCTTATCTGTGGATATTGTTCTTATACATATCTGTTGTAGAATGTGGATATAGCTTGTATGCTTATCTGTGGATATTGTTGATATACATATCTGTTGTAGAATGTGGATATAGCTTGTATGCTTATCTGTGGATATTGTTGATATACATATCTGTTGTAGAATGTGGATATAGCTTGTATGCTTATCTGTGGATATTGTTGATATACATATCTGTTGTAGAATGTGGATATAGCTTGTATGCTTATCTGTGGATATTGTTGATATACATATCTGTTGTAGAATGTGGATATAGCTTGTATGCTTATCTGTGGATATTGTTGATATACATATCTGTTGTAGAATGTGGATATAGCTTGTATGCTTATCTGTGGATATTGTTGATATACATATCTGTTGTAGAATGTGGATATAGCTTGTATGCTTATCTGTGGATATTGTTGATATACATATCTGTTGTAGAATGTGGATATAGCTTGTATGCTTATCTGTGGATATTGTTGATATACATATCTGTTGTAGAATGTGGATATAGCTTGTATGCTTATCTGTGGATATTGTTGATATACATATCTGTTGTAGAATGTGGATATAGCTTGTATGCTTATCTGTGGATATTGTTGATATACATATCTGTTGTAGAATGTGGATATAGCTTGTATGCTTATCTGTGGATATTGTTGATATACATATCTGTTGTAGAATGTGGATATAGCTTGTATGCTTATCTGTGGATATTGTTGATATACATATCTGTTGTAGAATGTGGATATAGCTTGTATGCTTATCTGTGGATATTGTTGATATACATATCTGTTGTAGAATGTGGATATAGCTTGTATGCTTATCTGTGGATATTGTTGATATACATATCTGTTGTAGAATGTGGATATAGCTTGTATGCTTATCTGTGGATATTGTTGATATACATATCTGTTGTAGAATGTGGATATAGCTTGTATGCTTATCTGTGGATATTGTTGATATACATATCTGTTGTAGAATGTGGATATAGCTTGTATGCTTATCTGTGGATATTGTTGATATACATATCTGTTGAGAATGTGGATGTAGCTTTTATGCTTATCTGAATGTGAGATATTGTTTTTATACATATCTGTGGAAATGTTGATAGAGCTAGCATGCTTATCTGTTGAAAAGGGGAAAATGAAAAGTAATTGGGACTTGTAAGTCGTTGACATAAATATGTTATTTATGTGATTGTATCAGTGTTGACCAACTATCAATTGCTAATGTTTTAGTCATTGTCCATGGTTGGTTTAGTGTATTTCTACTGGGCTGTGGCTCACCCTATATGGGAATATCATTTTCAGGTGCAGGAAGCATGCCACCTCCAAGGACATAGCTGGGAGGCTAGTGGCGGACATAGTTTTGTCGTTTTACTGTTGATGTATTACATGTAATTTTAAGCCAAGGGCTTAATGTGTAAACGAGTTAGAACTCTTTGTTGTAACCAAGTGTTAACTTGGAAAGCTGTAAGCCCGTAGGGCATTTTGTTATGAGGTTAACATGTAATACTTATGTAATGGAACTCTAATGAATGAAAGAATGTGGTTAGTTTATATGTAAATACATGCCTTATCTGATGGGTTATTGTTATTATTTTGAGGGCGTTACACCTTACATCTCTGTAGATTCAATTGAGCTCAGCAACACCTGCAATACCTTTCTCCACCATTTTCAACACCACCAACGCCCTCCAATTCCAAATTCCTCGAACCTTCACCATAATTTGCTGCGTCGGCCATCGGAAATCCCTTATTTGAAGTAGCCTGATGCGAGGTCGAGCAAGACACAGTTCTCAAACCCTAGAGAGACAAAGTTGCTGTAATACTTGCTGTAAAACCCTAGAGTGAGGGAGAAGTAAATAAATAAAAAAATAAAATGACATAATTTTATATTTTTTTGAATCATAACTAAATAATAATAATTTATAATCAAACATCATATGAGAGATAATCAAAAATCTCATCAGTAATAACTAAAATAATGTCGTAATTATAGAAGAAAATTAATTATAACTAAAAAAGAAAATGACAACTAAGAATACGTATAATACAACTCTTAAATGGTGTGTATAGTAAAATTTACAAGATATTGTAACATTACACCAATTCATGTATATGTTGGGTAATCACATTTGGGAAATGGGGTGGTTGCACTAATGTGCAGCCATATGGGCCTATTTCAGGTCCGTTTCAATGATTCGAACTATTCATATTTAGAATATATTGAGTACAACATGTCGGTAAAAAATCAAGTCAATTGAACATCGTTAACCATTTTATTAAATTGCATATCTATAAAAATAAATGACAATTGTGATTTAAAGTATAAAAATGAATACAAATGTGAGGAAATGAAAGGGTTAGCGATATTTCATTAATTTGATTTTTTTTATAGGTAAGTTCTACCCAATTTACTCTAAAATATGAATCATTCAGATTATCGAAATAGACTCCAAAATTAGCCCATATTGCCCCCACAATAGTGGTTGTTATGGCCCCGCACAATAACCACCCATCTCCTCACATTTGTGGGTTTGATTATCATAAATGTCATAATTTAGAATTTTTTTTGGTAACACCATAAATAAGTTGGCCTTGTTTGGGATGTAACTTTTTAACTAAAATAGCTTAATAAAGATAAAAAAAAAATGCTAAAATAGTCAATAAGATAAAATGTCATATTCAAATCATAATTATTTTATTTTTTCTCTCACAACCTTCAAATCAATTAAAAAAAATTAAAAATCATCCTAAACACAACTTTTTTTTGACGGATTAAAATAGCCAAATAGTCAAAAAAGTTAAACTAAAAAAGCCTATCCCAAATGAGAGTTACTCATTTCTATAACATCATCTATCTAACTTTTTTCATGTCTTTTCGTAATAAGTAAAACAATCAATTCATAAGTCATATCCAAAACAACCCTTCATCTTAAAAAAGTCAGAACTTAGGAAAAAAAATAATGAGTAATAATCAAATAATACTTAAAGTATAACCAAAGAGTTTTTCGATCATAATTAAAATAATATCATAACTAATATCACAATGAGTTATAAGTAACACAACAATAGATTATAACCAAATAGCACAAAGATAGTAACTAAAAGGTGTACCGTAGAATTTTTTGTATATGTTCTCACAGTTGTTCGACACTGGGATAATTATTCAATAGCCCACTATGCCTCATTACTTATATGATGCTTCAAATCAATCACTTAGCTCAAAATTTTACAAATAAGACATACTCATTTTTTTTTTTTTTTAAATATAGTTGAGATATAATAGATAAGGGGTGACCATTAGTTTAATGGTAAAATCTTGGTCGAATATTCTTGAGGTTATGAGTTCAAATCATGCGACAACCACTTTGTGCACTATGTAGCCAAAGGTTAGGTGTGTACCTAATTTTTTCTCTCCCAAACATATATTAATGTTCAAATCACGTGATAACCACTTTGTGCACTATGCGGCCAAAGCTTAGATGTGCACCTAATTTTTTCCCTCCCAAACATAAATTAATGTGTATTAATTAGATGTTATTTTAGAATTGAGATATAGCAGATGACTCACTTAATATGGATTATAGTTTCTT